TTATTTCCGCATACCGCAGCAGCCAGATAATCAGTGCAGAACCAGGAAATACACATTGTTTTACCATCGTCTTCACATCCTGACCCGCTTCATGACAGTGTCTTAAAGGGGCGGGCTATTTCACAGTTAAAGTGTTACATTTGCGGCCGGATAAAATGTTCACAAGGGCCAGAGTTGACCCGCGGACCTTGAGTTGGACACGTGTGCCTCAACCTGCATATTATACTCAAAAAGTGTGAGCAGAAATATAGACCAATGCATATCTGACATCCTTGTTGTTGACTTGTTTATGGTCAGTTCAGCTGTTTCTGTATGTAAACAAATGCATGTGGTCTTTGGTATTTTAACTAAAGAACACATTAATGTGAGGAAAAAAATAGTCTTGTGATTTTTTTTCATTAGATTACAATGATTATATTTAATAGCATTAACTTTCAGTGTCAGTGTTAAATGCCAGGAGTATTTCCAGCAGCTGTGGTTTGGTTTCATCCTGTCACACTGTCATATCTCTGATATTCACCTTTCATTTTGTTTATTGAATTGGGTCAGTTCTCAGCAGCAGTTAGAGCTGCATTTGTCCTCCTGCATCACCCTGCAGGGTTTTTATTTTTATTTTTTACTATTATTATTAATCTTTCTTGGCACATTATTTGATGCTAATTTCTATTTTTTGTTCCCCTTTTTGAAACAGTTTTGACTCTGGTCTTAGCTCGGTTTTCCTCCTGGGTTGTGCTCCTGCTCCAAAGGAGGAGGGTAAAGGGGTCGCCAGGTGAACCTTTTTTTCCAGGAAATCAATGCCTACACAATAGCACAAATTGGCATCAATGCTGCGCGCTGTATACACTTATTATTAATCATGCGTCAAGTAATTCAGAGTGGATTGTTTTGTACTTGTGTACAATTTTCTCTTTTCTACCATAAAGACACGCTCAGCTTCACCAGTGCATTCAGCATCATCAACATGTATTTTTGTGTCTCTAGCTATGTAGGCTGTGGGAAATGGTTGCCATACTGCATTATCATTCTAATTAACTCCATTTAGAGGGCTGAATTATGCCGGCTGCCTTCGTTTTACCAGCTGCAGGGGAGGAATCTTCAGAATCAGGTGCCATTCATGTTCAAAATACAGATGGAAAGTTTATACTGTATAGGTTGAGATTACTTCTCGTATTTTATTTTTTAAAAACATGTTGAACCTGTTTCGGCCTAAGTGGCATCATGTGGCCTGGGGTGATACCTGAGGCCGAGGGGAAATGAAAAATTACATTTTTTCCATTCATTCTTCAGAAATTTTGGCTTGCAGCAAGGGTATGTTTAATTCTAATTGTCAAATGGGAGAGGTTTCATTGTACAGCATGTTGGAGTGGCAAAAACTCTGTGTGTGTGTGTGTGTGTGTGTGTGTGTGTGTGTGTGTGTGTGTGTGTGTGTGT